CTTTGGGCGCGGGTCACGGCGATGGCCGTGGCCGTGGCCGTGGCCGTGGCCGGGCAGGAGGACTACGCGTACCTCTACGAGGACTCCTCTCACCCCGCCGGCTTCCTGGAGGCGTTCCGAGCGTTTTACCGGGACGGGCTGTTCACCGACATCACCCTGCAGTGCGCGTCGGGGGTCATCTTCCACTGCCACAGAGCCGCCTTAGCGGCGTGCAGCAGTTATTTTAAAGCCATGTTCACAGCCGACATGAAAGAGAAATCTAACAACCAGATCAGACTCCCCGGGCTCAGCCATGCCGTACTGGAAGCCCTCGTGAATTATGCATATACATCACAGATCCAGATAACAAAGAGAAACGTCCAAAGCCTACTCCAGGCTGCAGACCTCCTCCAGTTCGTGTCAGTAAAGAAAGCCTGCGAGCAGTTTCTGGTGAGGCACTTAGATACCGACAACTGTATAGGGATGCATTCCTTTGCCGAATATCATGATTGCTCGGAGTTAGAGAAAGAGTCCAGGAGGATATTGTTATGGCAGTTTGAAGAAGTGTGGCAGCAGGAAGAGTTTCTGGACGTTGGCAAGGAGAAGCTCTCTTATATTCTCTCCAGAGAAAATATCAATATTTGGAAAGAAGAGACAGCCATTGAAGCTGTCATTAAATGGGTTGCACACAATGTGGAAGAAAGAATTGAAGACGTCTGTGAACTGCTGAGCTGCATCAAAGTAGACTTAGATAACATGTATTTGAGGTCAGCTTTAAGCCTACAAAAAAAATGCCAACTTAATGACAATAAGATAAGGTCACTCATATACAATGCCCTGAACCTCAATCCCAAAGGTCTTTCCAGAAGACCGACAGCAGCCATGTACGTGATCGGAGGGTATTACTGGCACCCCTTGTCGGAAGTGCACGTTTGGGATCCTCTAACCAATGCGTGGGTCCAGGGAACAGAGATGCCGGATCACACCAGAGAGAGCTATGGGGTCACTAGCCTGGGACCAGACATATATGTGACAGGAGGTTATCGAACAGAGAGCATCGAAGCCCTTGACACAGTGTGGATATATAACAGTGAGAGAGATGAATGGACAGAAGGCTGCCCCATGCTTGACGCAAGGTATTACCACTGTGCAGTTTCCTTGAGCGGCTGCATCTATGCGTTGGGGGGTTACCGAAAGGGAGCTCCAGTGCAAGAAGCTGAGTTCTATGATCCTTTAAAAAAGAAGTGGCTTCCTATTGCGAACATGATCAAAGGTAGGTAAGCTTTTTGTGTGGCAGGTGCCTCAAATGTCAATCCTTTTGCGTTTGCCACTTTCAAGTGCCATGGACACATTTAGGCTTTGATCCAAGTTCTAGTGAAGTCCATGGGAATCTCCCATTAATGATGGTGGGCTTTGTTTCGGGTCTTCACTAGCCAAACAGCTGTAAACATCCAAATGCTGTGCTGGGCTGTGCCACAGAACGCTAGGATGGAAAAGCAAGTGGTAGTCTCAGTTTAATTTTGCCGCCTTTCGGGAGTAAAATTTTTGTTCAAATTAGAAGGAAATCAGAGAACTATCTGGGATTAGAGTCTGTTCAGTAGATGGTCAAAGAACAAGCTCCAATAACAGGATTGTATTAATTTAATGCAAAATATGTTCACTAAGATTTTCTGTGCAATCTTTTATAAAGGTGTCATCTTCATTTAAAATTTCTTGCATTGTTTCCTCATATTTCAGTGCATCATCCGTCAGGATCCTTAGTTTAATCTTTAGTGTGAGGATAATGCAAAGCACTAATACCTGTTTCTAGCAGCCAAAATAGTGATCTGTTAAATATGTATGAATTTGGATAACCATCTAAGTAAAGGGTATTATTGTTATAATAGTTTATAATTATAACATTCTAATAATGTTATAATTTGTTATAAAATTTATAAACAATTATATATTTAATCATGCATTTTTATAAGTCCATGCAATTATTTACAATTAATTATAACATTTTACTGTAAGTTGATGCAACATAGTATTTTCCTACATATATGAAAGTTTTTGGAGGTATCTGTAACAAGGGAAAACACCTACCATGCTCCTAGAACTTTCTTCATTGTTTGTGTATTTTCCACAAACATTGCTATTCTCTTTTTATTTCTTTTAAAAGTAGAAATGCTATGCTAATACTGTGAGCAGTTACACATTTTATGCAGTTGTTGCGTCCCGTTTTCTGTGGGAAACTCCTTAGATGCTTAAAAAACCCCACAGTAATTTTCTAATTTTGGTCCATTTTATCTTGCCAGATCCCTTGTTTTATTTTGTTTTCTTCTCCTAGAGACGGAGTTAACATGACTCCTTTCTGTTTGTGTCCTTGTTTATACAATAGCATAATTAATAATACCATGAGTAAGACTGAAAGTATCAGAAAAGACACTGAATGATTGCAAGTCTTTGTCCTTGCCATATAAGTGACTTTTAAAAATCTTTTTAATTCAGTGAAATATTGAAAGTAATTCCCTATTCCAAAACCAATGTGAGAAAGTGTCTTTAATTGCTGCATAAAAATTCTGTGAAATATTGTGTGGCTGTATTATATGCAATATGTATCGGTTACAGCAGTTATATCAAATTGCTCTTGACTTACGCTGATAAAATAAGGTGTCTTGACAAGTTTATTTCATTTCACATTCAGTTAAATACTTGCTAGCATAATTTTACCCTAAAACATTAATTAACAAGTCATTTGAAATGGGATTATGGATGGAAGTGACTGTGGTTATTGTGTGCAGTCTGAAGGTGTGTTGTGACTTTCACACTGTGTACAGGTGTTGGAAATGCCACCGCTTGTGTCCTGCATGAAGTCATCTATGTAACTGGAGGTCACTATGGGTACAGGGGAAGTTGTACCTATGATAAAATCCAGAGATACCATTCAGGTAGCGATGAGTGGAGTATAGTCACCACAAGCCCGCATCCAGGTAAACAGTAATTTCTGTAATGAGCATAGAGCTTGGTTTGATTACTTGTATCTGGGAGTCTTTAAGCCCACCTAAGAGTTTCTGGCATGTTCCTAATAAAAGGAGCAGTGCCTGTAGGGCAGCAAGGGCTGGAGTGGGATCATCTCCTACTTCCAGACTCTGAGAGGGGAAGGGGAGACCCTGTTCAAGCATCTGTTCTATATAAATCACTATATAAATATTGAACTAAGGAATGGCTGCATTCTATTAAATAATATCATAAACTAACTTTCTATAAAATCTATCTATTCATAAGCATTTGGCAAAAATCATATGGATTTAAAAAGTGTTTTCTCTATGTTCTACATTCGGTAACAGTAAGTTTTTAAAGCAACCCTCACTAAGTACTGGTGCTCATGTCTCTATCTTCTGTAATGCCTTGAGCTTGCTTTGTACCTGCACTTTTACCAAGTGTAGCAGAAAATCCTGAGGTGTCTCCTAAGCTCAGCACAGAAGCTCAGCTGCTCTCAGTGGTGCTCAATGTTTGTCATGTAGTTGCAGTTTAAGTTAAGATTATCATACTGAGTTGAACTGTATTCCTTTCTTCCTAAAGAATACGGATTGTGTTCAATTACATTACAAAACAAGATCTATTTTGTGGGTGGACAGACCACAATCACGGACTGCTATGACCCAGAACAAAACGAGTGGAAGCAGATGGCTCACATGCTGGAGAGAAGGATGGAGTGTGGTGCCGTGGTTATGAACGGGTGTATCTATGTGACAGGAGGATATTCCTATTCAAAAGGAACTTATCTGCAGAGCATTGAGAAATACAACCCTGAGCTGAATAAATGGGAAGCAGTAGGTAATCTTCCCAGCGCTATGCGGTCACATGGCTGTGTCTGTGTGTATAATGTGTAAACACTGAATTTTCATATTGTTGTTACAGAGAACAGCAGATGCAGTATTCATAATAGTACCGATTACCTCATGAATGAGATGTCTAATACAATCTCTTAGTGCACATCATTAAAAATTAGGTATAATTTCTATTTTAAACAATTCAGAAATATAAATGTGATAACAAGACTTCCATACATTTTTCAGTCCCATCGTTCTTTGTCATGAAAGTTTTGAAATTATTCTCTTATAATACTTTGTGCAGCTATGTAGGAACTACTGTGAAAAACGGGTTTGTTTTAATTAATCGAGTGGAACTGTGATCTGGCACTAAGGTGAGTAAAGCCAAACAAAATACGCTGCACTTCTATGGACTACTGAGCTTAAGATTAAATCTTTGATACTCCAAAGATAGCTATAGAAACGGTTCATTTCCAGAAGCTAAGTGTGTGGTACATATAGAGCAATATCACTTGGATAACTAGGTTATCACATCCAGAAATCATGGGCACTTAGAGGATGGTTCTAATTCTACCTTCAAATGGCAGAGCAGAGAAGAGCACAGGCTGGGAATGAAGGAAGAAATGTCATGCAGTAGTCCCACAGCACAAGCCAAAAGCATGCATGAATTTTCCAGGAGAACAGTGCTCTGAAGTATGAGGCAGTTTGAGAAAAGTGCTTACTTTGCCATTCTCACACTGGCAAGGCCCATGAGAAATAAAAACAGACTCTGCATGTCTTGTCAATGGGCTCTTTGGCTGATGCGCAGGTATTGGTGATTTTTTTTTTTTTTTTCAGGGAAAAGCCTTACCTAACTGTTTTTTAAAATTACATTTAAGATGAGTGTCTTTGTGGAATGGAAGTAGGAAATGCGAGAGACTAGAAAATTGCTAACATCCCCCTGAAATAAAAACTTCTGTATTTTGTGTCATACCATTTGGTCTTTTCTAAAAACTGTGACTTGAGCAAAGGTGACAACTGAAGAAACTTGTCAAAATATGTTATGCATGAAGAAATTGAATCTGAAGTGGTCCACTGGATTTATTTATTATTTCTTGTAAAATGTAATATGAGATCTTCAAATTCTGTCTAGAAAGCAATTTGAGATGGCCAGGAAGGTCATCATTTTGTCACCTCTTCACTGGGAGACTCTCACAGCAGGCTGCCAGCACCAGCAGAAAGCAGAATCTGTATGTAGTATTTCATTAGCTGGTGTTCTGACCCTGCCGTCCCCAGGCTTCTCACCAGTCCTTGTTCGGCGTCCTGCCACATAGGTAGCAATACAAATGCATTTCATTGAATTGTTATTGTAGTGAATTCTTAGGATTTGTTTTCTCCTCATAGCTTGTATAGATAGTATAATGTGGGGCTTGTTATTAGCCTGGTTCCCTGAGGGAGCAAGGTACAACTGTGTTGTCTTTCTGTGCGTGTGTAAGCTCCCCTCTGACACTGGAGTGTCTTGTTTGGGTTCAGCCATATTCTACAGGGATGTATAGGCCTTAACATTACACTCTTTTTTTTCAGGTTTTATGAAAATTTGTAACAGGGTAGAGGAGGGAGGGAGAGACTGAAAGGGAGCACATGAATCGTGTGGAAAGTAGAAGATGGCAAAGCCTTCCCAGTGCCATGGACAGGCGGCTGTGAGGAGTGTGCCTGCTCCCACTTTTGCTGCCCCTCAGCCAGTCCCCCTTCAGCTGCTGTGGGGCCCATGGTCTGATAGCAGTGATCCAAACAAAGAAATGCCTTGGGAAGCAGAGAGGCTTTTTTAGCCCAGATCAGTTCCCCAATCCAGCTGATGAAATGACAGCAGAAATAGCTGTGAGACATGGGAATGAGAGGCAGGAACAACACAGAGCTGCTGTGGAGTGTGGTGAGAACTTCCCACACGAGCACTGCCACCTAAAATAAAATTTTGGTTTGATTGGATTGATCAGATATGATGAAAGGAGGTTTCCAAGCAGATAAGCCCTGAGTTTATAATATTTGTTTTTCTTGGTTATGAGCGTTTTCAACATTTTTTGTTCTTTCACATTTTTATGCTATTTCTCACTTGCATTTGACTGCTGGTAGCGGGTGGCACTCAACTCTGAGCTTTGATGTGAAGATCTATGGTGTATATATAGTTTTTGTTTTGATCTCTTTGTGTGTCACCTTACCATGTCAGAAGCTCAGGGGTGCGTGGATTCAGTGTTTTCCTTTGTTACCCATCCCACTGAGAGCTATTTAAAGTTCCAGTGTAATTTGTTTAAAGATTCTAAATTGTGAAGGGGTATGAGGAATTGAACTCTGATGCTGTTTGAAATGCATGGGCTGGGCAGGGGGGCAAAAGAAATAAAGTGAATTTCTTTCTCCTGGAAATCTCCGCAGCCAAGAATTGCTCAAAGGCAGCTGGAGATTTAAAGGACAACATCACAAGAGCATGAAGGTGATGTGTGTATTGAATGAAACCACCGTGAACTCAATGTGTGTATATAACAGTGCAAAATATGTACCTGTGAAGTTTCATGTTTGTTGAAAAACATGAGCATAGAACAGCTGCTTATTTATGGCTGGCCCTGAGGTTCATTCTGACCCGTATCCTGTCACTGTTAGTCATGAGTCGGTGAAAGGATGCGAGAACAAGGCAAGGACTAACAAAACCTCGCAGTATCCACCTGTCCCTCCCCTGCTTCTAAACTAAGTGCCTCACGTTGGTGGAAGACAGCACCCTTCCAGGGTTGGAGTACAGGCACTGGAAGACGGAGTCCACTTTTTTCCTCTGGGCATCCTGCAGGTGAGCCCTACTCTGCTCCTTGGCCCCTGCCTAACTGCCAAGTGGAAAAAAGCCTTTAGTTCTCACACATAGGAGAGCATGTGCTGATCTGGAGTAGACAAAAGGCAGTGAGGTGACTGCCTAGGGCTTCAGTTAAGCCCTAACTTTTTAGAGATTTTGAATGCATTAGAATAAATAGAGTGTAGGAGTTCAGATTTGTGGTTAAATTTTAACTGGTGCTATTTTTTACAATAACCTATAATGCCCTTTTAAATTAGCTCATGTCCATAGCACATCCCAAGAAGGCGTGTAGCAATTGGGTCTGGAGCGCAGACAGGAATGGAATTCAGTGAGAGGAGCAGGGATTCAGGCTTGTGGTCAGTAGCTCGTGCATCCTGCGGGAGGTGGAGAGCTTGGAGCAGGGGATCTTTTAGCCATCTCTGTGGTATATTTTTAATAATAATTGTTGAATGTGAACACTAAGTTATTGTGCTATTGGACCTGTGCTCTGGTAGACAGTTTTACTGTTTCACATGTAAACTAGAAAACTGAGTAATACAGAATTTGAATCAGTTGATAAATCAGTACTATTCATTCAAATTTTTACTTGTGTCATCCCCATGTTTGTAGTGCTGCAGATGCCTGCAATGCATCTATAGTACTTATGTGAATGTTTGTAATATTTAATAAATGTAAATATAGCATCAGTGTGCATATACAAGCTTTTAAGTTACTTTTTCTGTTAACTGTGCAAGAGCACGTGAACAGAACCGCTGCGCTCCCGGACCGGCGGCCGCAGCAGAGGCAGCGGCCTGTCGGTGAGTGTAAGGCCCCATCGCCCCGGCAGCCCTTCCCGCTGCTGCTGTCCGCGCCTTCTCCGATGCGGAGAATAAACACGACGGCGCTCCCCCCGGATCGCTGCGGGCGCAGGGGCTCCTCTGGCCGCCCCGAGATAGCTCCCGCGGCGGCGGGGCTGCGGGCCCCGAGGGGAGCGGGAGGGGCTGCCTGGCCCGGGAGCAGGGGCCTCCCAGCTGGGCC